GTGGAAAGCTTCTTTTTACGTCTTACACATTCTGCTATAGAGTTGTAGTGCCTCCTTACTAGTTGTTGCATTGTCATGTTTAAATTGTCTACCTGTGAAATTGCATATGGTGAGAAGTTAGTCACTGGCCTCTGTCTCCTCTTACAGCGACGCCAGAACCTGGAGAAGATCCGCGTGTTACAAGGGCAAAGTACTTCATCAGAGATGAGTTCCTGGTAAGTGCGTAGCTGTCTTTCATGGGATTTGTTTTTAAATGTATGCAGTGGAGGGGCGGGGGTTATGCTTTAATAAAATTTGGAGACGTTTCTGCTGCACAAAAGTTGTTTAGCTGCTTTGTAACTTTTCCTTTCTTCTACAGAGGATCAGCACAGCAAGTGGAGATGGAAGGCACTACTGTTACCCCCATTTCACCTGCGCCGTCGACACAGAGAACATCCGCCGCGTCTTTAATGACTGTCGAGACATCATCCAGCGGATGCACCTGCGGCAGTACGAGCTGTTGTGATGGGAGAGGAAAGGTGTTAGGCCAAAAAGATAAAACCAGATCGGACTATGGAAGACGAAAAAGAAATCCCTGAACCTGCGTCTCTGAACTCTTCTGCAGAAGTATGAGAGCTCTTGTGACACAACAGGGGCCAAAACACACACGCACTTATAGTAAACACGCCGTGAACCCAGAAATTCCCCTGATGCAAACTCTCTACCTGATGCAGAATTTTTGACGGATGGGTTTGAGGGGCTTACACGTAAAACAGACTTCAGTCTTGACTTTCAGCCATACTCCCAGCTCCTCACCTTTCGACATCATGTTATCGTCACGTTACCTTCACCTTCCTAAAAACAGAAAAAAAGTGGCCCAGTCCGGACTGAGTTTCCTGCAGCGAGGGTTGGAGCTGCAGCTTGAGTTTTGTTCGTTTTGGGGGTTTTTTTGGGGGGGGGGGTTTTTCTCCCCTGATTGGGCTGAAAACTAAGAGCTACTACTTCAGTGCAATTGGGAAAGAGATGAATTACTGCAAATGGAGAATGAATATATCACAGCAGATCAACTGAACACTGTATTTAAGAGACAAAAAACAAAAAAACAAGCACTGTGCTCAGGACTTTGACTCAAACCATGTACACCAAACCTTCCTTTCACTTAGAGACATCTTTAAATCCAGTGGCTCTGCTTGCGCGCACACACAACATATCTCACCTGCTTTTTACTGGACTGCACAACAGGGGGTCAATCTGGCAACGCACGTACCTGCTCGCATTTCGTTGAGATGCCGGCTATTTATCTGGGTCGGTGCTTTTTGAGATTAAACGGGCAAAGCTCAGCCGAGCCCAGAGGAGCAGCGTTACCACAGACTTAACCAGACCACGGGTGTGTTGGTGAGACTTCACTCGAGCAGGTGTTCACTAAAACGGGATGGGAGCCAACTGCGATTTGAGTTTCTCTGATGGGAGGTGTCGGCTGTGATTGACCGGGGCGCCAGCGGCTTCTCTACAGAACTGTTTAGCCAACTGACTTTGTCTTGTTGGTATCGGAGCATCACGTGAGGCGGATATATTGAGTTTAAAACAAAAAGAACCAGAAATGCCAACTTCTATGGGACTTTCAATAGAGGGCGACAGGCATCCTTCAACAGTACAGTACCATATAAGTTAAAGAGAACTCTCATCCTGTTATACAGTCTCCACAGCTGTTTTTCTCTGTGTAGACTTTTGTGCCATTGTGCCCTGTGCGCTCTTTCTTTATCTCAACTCTTTGTCATCCTTTTGTCACCGGTTCTCTACACGTTCTCCATCTTTCGCCCACCCTCTTCACCGCCACCTTTTCCATTTGCACTTTTACCTTCCTGGCAGTGGTCTTTCATTTTAAAGAGAAAATAAGATATATTAATCTTGGAATATTAAAAACACAACAAAATGGGACTTTATTTTTTTTTCTGCTCCCACCTGTGTGCTTGCACCTCCCTGCCATTCCTCCCTCCACCATTCCTCCTCTCCTTCCTTGTATGTCTGTCTTTACTTTACTGCTGAACTATTATTCTTGTACAGACTGTAAAATGTATTATTTTGTACAACTTTATTGAGGAAAACTTTTAGAAGATCCCTGTGCCTTGATCACGACTGTACGTGTGTAATGAGCTAAAGTGGGTGTCATACTGCGCTGTATAGCTTGGCCAATCCTCTCCCTGCCTCCCTTGCTCTTACCTTCTCTCCCTTTATCCCCACCTCTCTCTTTCTCAGTCCATTTCTTTCTCCTCTCCTCTCCTTGGAGATGGTGGATGACCATTTGTAGCTTTAGTAGAGTTTTGTTTTTTGGGGTGGGTGGTTTTTTTTTTTTGGTTTTTTTTTTTTTTCACCCTTTTCCTTCCAGCCCATCTTTATGATTTAATGTCTTTTTTTTTCTTTTCTTTTTTTGATCCATATACCCCCAAAAAGATAAATATGAAATCTATATGGGTTCTAAAGTATTTTATTAGAATCAAATGAACCTTGACAAATTGTACACTTGATGGTGTGCATCTTGCTATAACTTAATCCTTTCAACTGAAGTTGTTTGGGATTTTTTTTTTTTTTTTCTTCCACACACTGAAGGGTTATAAGTGGGAGGTGACAGATGCAAAACATTGCTTGTTTCTACACAAATCGTTATTGTTTTTTGCAAAAAAAGAAAAAATGGCCAAAAAAAGAACAATTTGTTTTTCTTTTCCGCTGAGGGGGGAGGGGGTCCTCCTGCCTAGCCTTGCACAGCAGAGGCAGCCTGTACAGTATTAGCATCTCTCATTTCAGTGCCCTAGTCTCATTTAATGTGTACATCAAATATGGGTCTACTTTCTGAAAAGGAGCTCTATGAAATAAAGAATTTTTTTCTTTTTTTTTTTTCTTTTTTTTTTTTTTTTTTTTTTTTTTTGGTGCAAACAGCAACTGCTTTGTCATGTTTTTGTCATTACACTCTACGCAACTCAGGGGGTAGAAATCAACAACACTATTAGATAAAAGTGCATCCAAGCTTATCGATTCTTATGACTGTTGTGCTTCGCAAAACAACAATCCTCGTGGCAGTGAACATTTTGCACATCTACCTGTGTCTCTAGCTCCCACCCAAAAAACTGATCTCCACTCGTTGTGAAAATCAGTAACGTATCGGACCAAATCGCTCAAATCTTTAACAGTGCTGATATTTATTTATTTATTCCCGCCCCCCTTCTCCTGCCCCCACCGCAGCAAAAAAATTTTTAGAGATGCCTTGTCTTGCAGCTTTTACAATCAGAAGTATGATCTGAATGCACTGTTGTATCAAACATATTTGCTATTTCAAGTTTAGCTCTATAAATTCTTTAGCTCGTTTTTTCGGGTTTTTTTTCCTCTTTATTCATTTATTGCTACTGCTACTCAAAGTACACGTGTAATATAATGATCTCAAACAGTGACTGGCAGGAAGAAAAGAATATGAAAGGATGTAGCACAAGTAGAAAAGCACAATGGGTTGCCAACTGTGTGCCCACTTTGATCTTAAAAGGGCTGTACTTGAGAGAATCTTTTAGCCCGTATAAAATAACTTAAATGCATATTTACTGCTTGAGATATCTTATACGTGATAAAGAAATGTGTCAACATGACTCTTCGGACTCAAATGTGTAAAATTACAAAGTTCTGGTAGGTCATTGCCTAGACGGTCCTGTAATTATGAAAAAGAAAATTCAGTTAAACTTTCCATTATTATTTGACTGTGGACACATTGTTTGTTTTTTTTTCTTTGGTTTTTTTTGGGTTTTTTTTTTTTTTTTTTAATTCAGACAACCTCTTAACTTTGGCACTTATCTATTACTTAGAGTGTGGCTGTGGAGGAGGTCGTCTTCGGTAGGAAAAATAAAATTTCTGAAAATACATTTAAGTGCAGGATTTATGCCCTCCTGCACAATTTTCAAAGACTTCCAGCAGGCCAGGTTGGAGTCTTTGCTGAGCAGATTCTGGTCCCCTGACCTTATGTTTGACACTCCAGGTGTAAATGATTTTCCTGCATGTATCACCGATGTGAGTATCTAAAGGTAAAATTACCTAGTTTTAGTCTGGATTAAGTAACTCCCGAGCCTACTCAGCTCAGTTTCCATGGTCTCAGTCAAAAAGGAAATATTGCAGCCTCCTAACAAGTGCCCTGATAATTTAAAAAAAAAAAATTTTTTAATTATCAAGCACCTAAACTTAAAAACTTGACATGTTGGTTCCATATTTTCAGAACTTACCAGGTGTGTTTTGAAGCGGTGTGTATGGAAGCAATGCACAAGACTTCTCTAGTACATGTTTGTTGTTTGTACTCTTTGGGGGGGAAAAAAAAAAGTTTTCTCCAGCTCTCTGTATCCAAAAACTCAACATTTTACTTAGTGAAAATTTCTTTTTATTAATTTTAAGCTTTGACATTAGCAGAGTTTGCTTTTTTTTCTATTTCTTTTTTCAGGGCTCTCTTGGAAATTAGATTTTTAATCTCAATGAGATGTTTTTTACCTGGATAAATAAAGGACTAATATTTTTCTGCTGGTCTCACCAACCTAAGCAAAGTTTAAGCTGATGCCAAAGTCACCGTTGGAACAAGGATGGAGTGAAAGCAGCATCCAAAACCATATGCTGGTTATTTTCTACAAGAAAGGTGTTGCAGAGCATGATGTAATGAGAATGGATTGTGATAAGGTGGTAGAAAATCACAGCAAGGGAAAACTCCTGATGGATCTGAATTTGAGCTAAATTAAGTCCATTCAGATACAGATATAAAATGGGAGATGGAATAAGTCTAACTGGGGCCCTCAGCAAGAACTTTATTTGGAAAAACATAGGACACAAATGTGGAGGGGAAAAAAACCAAGCCAAGAAAAACACAGACCAGCCTCTCCATATTTTTCCTGTGGGTTGTCAAATCTGGCTGAATTAATTGGTGTTACCTAATTCAAAGTCTACCTATGGTGAGGGGTTATGCAGACCTATTGGAGGAATTTGGTTGGCATTATTTTCAAAGGTGGCTGTGAGACTTGTTATACTGCATGGTTTGAAGATATGACACTAACGAGAGGCAAGTTGAGATGGTTTAGACATGTGCAGAGAAGGTATAAATATGTATTAATGCAAAGGATGCTGAATATGGAGCTACCAGGCAGGAGGAAAAGAGGAAGACCACAGAGAAGATTCATGGATGAAGTGAAGGAGGAAATGCAGATGGCTGGTGTGAGAAAGAATTCAAGGGAGACGGCGAGATGAAGACAGATGATCTGCTGTGGTGGCCCCTACTGGGAGCAACCAGAAGAGGACTCTTTAAAGGTCTATGGCAAAAAGGATCTGAAATTTCTTCCATATACTGGTATGGTTTGTATTTTTCATTATTAAAACTATATAAGATTAAAACATAACATTTTAAGGAATGTGTAGCAGTGCTTTAGGCCTTAATGTAAAATCTTTATTGTGGCTGAAGTGTTCATAGTGCTGTCTTATCTCAGTCCTGAGCTGTTAAACGTTGGACTTTCTTTGACAGCACTAACAAAAACCAGCTCACGTCACCTGCTAGTCCCGCCCACAGCGTGACGTAGCCTTTTCCTTCCTCGTCTCCGCTGCTAGTAAAGTTAGCAGTAGCACCTTTTAGCCTCCAGCAGCTGTCGTTGGCAGTCAGTCAGCCTGTCAGTTCGAGTGGCGGTGTGTGTTTGTGCGTGTATAAATTCCCCCTCTTTATTTACCCTCCCGTAGAAAAACCGAGGGCGGCCGGGTTGTTTCTTCGGGAGCCAGCTTGCTTCACCTCTGCGGGCCAACTGCAATAAAAAAAAAAATATTGTTGTCCTCGCCGTCACGACAGGAAGAAGCCCTGGGACATGGCCAGACCAGAACAAGTCCTGTTGCTGGAGCCACAACACGAACTGAAATTCAGAGGTAACCGAAGAAGCGGAGGGCAGGGCCGAGCTTAGGTAGCTAACACAGGAGACGTAAATGAGAGCCAGTATTTCGATTTCTGCACTACTGAGTAGTTGAATGTGCCATTCGTTGTATATGCTGTGGTAAAACGTGAGGGATATAGCTGTTAGCTGTAGTCTACATTGTGTGTACGACAGTTGTGCGGTGACAGGTGAAACGACACTGTGCGACGGTGCTAACTAGCTCGCTGGAGTAGCATCCAGCTAATCTCACTAGCAACAAGGCAAACTGCTAGCTGTCATTGCAGCGTCAGGGCAGGCCCGCCGCACCGTTTCTCTAATTCTCTCATTTGCTTGTCATACTTTCTCTTTTATACTCTGACAGCATTGGAAACACCTCGATTTGATCTAATGGTTCAGTTAACCTCCCCCTCGGTGTCGTTTCTACTGCCCGACTGCAAAGAATTCCCTATTCTAGCATTTTCTACGATCAGGGTGTCATTGCTTATCCTTATTACCATGCTATTTCACAATATTATAAGCTAGCCGGCAGGAGATTTGGCGTTTTCTCCCACTGTGCAACCCGAATTCCTTTACAGCTTTTCTGTATCCAAGCACAATGATTATGAAATTACGGACTGAGCTGCAGTGCCAGCGGTAATGATTATTTTCTTGGATAATTACTTTGGTGTGTCATTTTTGCTGCAGAAATGGGTCAAGTGAGGGCCTAGGGTGGTGGTATCAGTTTGAAGTGGGCTGTTCACTGATTGATTGTTGCAGGGCTTTGGAGAAGATCCATACACCCACTCTGTTACTGATGCACACTTGCATCAACATCAGTTTCCAAAACCATGCTTAAGCTGTCAAGAAACGTGTGAGAGACCTAATTGCTACAGAGACAAAAGGAAAACATTAGCACTTAAGACACCCATCTAGTAATTTTTCTGCAGCATCCAACGTTTGGCTGAGGGCGTGGTATGAATTATAAACACGTGCACACTTTGCTGATCTCACCACTGTTTTAATGTTTAATTTGCTCTGTTTGTGGCAGGCTCTGTAAAACCGCTAAAAAAAATCTGCCCTGATATTGATGTTTGCAGAAATGGATTTTTACATTGTGTATATTTTTTGCGCACCCACCCTGTTTTCTTTCTTCTTAGGAGCCCAAGTAACAAACAAATGCTGCATCTATACCCTAACTACGAGACGTGTAAATTCACCCCCACATGCTTGCACGCACACTCAAGTCACTGCATTTCTTTCTTTCTCATCCTCAGGCCCATTTACAGATGTTGTCACCGCCACCCTGAAGCTGACCAACCCCACAGACAGAAATGTGTGTTTCAAAGTCAAGACGACCGCACCTCGCAGATACTGTGTGCGCCCAAACAGTGGCATCATTGACGCTGGAACCTCCATAAATGTTTATGGTAAGGATCTTTGCATCTTTTTGCCATCCAGAAAAGTTGGTAAAGCTGTGAACCTAATGTGGAAGTTCAAAGGCTTATACTGATCCATTTTTGCCTAACTCGGTAATTAACGTTAGCTTATTGGGCTTAATAGAAGTAAAACTATATTGAGTTGTCATCATTTAAGTGCTAGATAAAGTGTAATATACTTACATTTAACAGCGTCAGATATGGAACCGTAGTGCTGAACTAGCAGCAACCATGTATTGTGTTGCAGCACGCAAATAAAGGGTCGCGCCTGCACTACCTGTAATGGATACTGCAGTCACTACCTGAGTTTATAATTACATCATGCTTGGAGACATTTTACACACATGCCTCCTTATGACTTTCCCAATAATCTGTCTAATCTGCACATAACTATTATATTTAAATTAAAATAAAATAAAAAAAAGACTTGTTTCTGACAACTAAAGTGGTTTCTGTCTCCTGCATCATTTTCTTTTTTTATTCTTTCATTTTTGTTTCTTATTTTTTTTGGAGGGTGGTATAATTTACTCAAAATTTAAATTTTTGAAAACATTTTATCCACAGCATAAGATGGAAAACTGTCAAATGTTTAGACATGAGACATTTTACTACCTCATGAATAAGATGAGTTCAGTTCGAATTTGATGGCAGCAACACATAAATCTTTTTTTTTTCTTTTTTTTCTTTTTTTTAAAGACATCACGTCCTTTGAACTAAAGCAAAAAGTGCTTATATATGGCTCTACTGGTATATGGGGTGTATTTGTCCCTATAAAATTGGAAGCTTGTACTATGGCTGTGCCATATTATACCGTTCACGGTAATACTCGTTGCCTAATAATGTTAGGCAACGATAAGAAAATGAAATCTCCCGATAGAATATGGGTAAAACACGTATGCGCAGTGCCTTTGTTTTCATACGCACATGGCGGAAAAAGCACGGCGGCGACAGAGAATGAGAAGGGTGAAAGCGGATCATTGAATGAAACGGATGAACTAGAATTGGTTTGTAAAAATGCTGCAACTTCAGTGGTGTGGAACTGGTTTAGCTTTCGTCCATCAGATACACAACAAAGCACTATTTTTGGTAGAGCATGCTAGCGGGCCGTCGTTATTACCGTGTTTTTTGGAAAATACGGCACACTTAAAATCAATCCTTTGATTTTTCTGAAAATCGACAGTGCCCCTTATAATCCCGTGTGCCTTATGTATGAATTCGGGTTGTGTTTCCTCACCTCGAAATGATTTTATGTGCTACACAGCGCTC